ACTAAGTGTTACTCGTGTTGTTTTTAATTGTTTTCGCTCTTCAATTGTGACTTTTCTTGCATGCAAAGTAACGTATAAAATCGTGTTCTTGTGTAAGTGATAATTATATAAAATAAGTTGGCGACCAAAATTTTTCCGTTAGTCACCAGCTGGCTCCCGAACGAAAAAGTTAATTTCGAGCCCTGGTATATGGTTAAAAGCAACTAACCAACTGAAGCTAATTTAACCAAGTGCAGGCTGTTTTAAAATGGTCCCAGGATGGTCTTAGCAGTGCAGTGTATGCACAGGTGAGACACGTAGTCCACAACGCTGCCCACTTTGACTTGTTCAGCACCTGTGTGTTTTCTTGACCCTCCCCCTTCCTTTTCTCCTTTTCTGCAGCCTTTCTTAGTATGATGGATGCATGTTGGTCGTCCATGACTGGGTTACATGGATGGTGCTTTATATGGGGCTTGCCGGTGAGAGGCTGGCCCCTTTAGATACTCCATGCACCATTCTTCAAATCGCAGTATTGCACTAATTATACAAAGTCATGTATTTTTTTTTATCATTTTGTGATCTTGATACACACCTGAGGTGGATCTGTGCTCATCTTTGCTACATGGATAAATTTTCCAGCACCATCAGGTTGTGTAAATGGCCAAAGTGTAATATAATATGACCCATCAGCAGAGAATTGAGGAGTAGTGTACTGAATAAAGAGGTACAAAGAAAGATTGAAATATTATTTTCATCAATTTCCTTAAGTTGAGTTTAAGAATATCCAGAAGGAAATTAGTCTGAACTACAGTAGTGAGACAATCTCAGATAGTGCAGAGTGCATTGTATAGCTATGGAACAATAGTCACACGTGTCATGTTCACTTCCGGTCTGTATTTACTTTGGTACCTTGGGCTTTTCCCCTTGCAGAATATGATCACACAGAAACCTTGATCAATAAGACATACACTGTAATCTTGTCACAATCTTAGCAGTGCGTATGTTTCATGTCTGCACTTTCATTCGATGTGCAACAATAACTTACAATTACTGTTTGTCGAGATAGCTTTCAAACTTTACACTGGTGTTTTACCTTGATTTTTGTTTATTTCAAAATTCAATAATACGTTGAAGTAGCAAATGTGACAATTTTACTTTTCCCGCCAACATTAATTTCATAACTTGATTCTTTTGTTATCCTTGCAAGGTATGTAACATACATGTAAAACCCTTGTTTTCTCGAGAACTTAAGAGATAAAATGTCTTAGGAGGAAATGGAACAAAGTTAAGTATCTCATGAGGAAATGGAAGAAAGATTTTGTTTTATTCAAAATGCAAATTTTCTTTTCACTGAAAAACAAGTAATTTAATCATCAAACAGTCACAGAATATCACGTTCTTATACAGTTGCCACCTCAATGATACTGATTAATACAACTGAAAAGTGTTAGTGTTTCAACAAGAAGTATTGAAGGCAGACCTGCACTACATCGGTGAACGAGTCCCCTCAAAGACTGATTAAATTAATTTATGCTGTCATTATGTGCCACAGAGTCTGCAGCACTATTTGAACACTTTCCTGGTTTCTTTTGTCGCAAATTTACAATTTGACAAGTTTTACTGCCACTAAATTGGGAAATTTAGGCTAGATATGAACTTTTTGGTCTCTTTCATGGAGATAATTGAAATCTCTACCTTCAGTACTTCTTGTTGAAATGCTCCTCAGTTGTATTAATCGATAGCAATGTATATTAGTTTGACATAAATAAGAGAGCACTATTCCATGAAGTGACGTGACTATTTGATAATTGGATTAGTTCTTGTTTGTCAGTGAGATGAAAATTTGCATTTGGAATAAAACAAAATCTTTCCTCTTCCATTTTTCATCAGATATTTAGCTGCAAAATTGTCACATTTGCTACTTTTGCTTATTATTGAATTTAAAATACCGAAACTCAGCGTAAAACACCACAATACAATTCAAAACCATCTTGACAAACAGTAATAGTAAGTTATTTTGGGGCCTTGAAAGAAAATACAAACATGGAACATACACAATGCTAAGATTATATCTTACACTGTATCAAGTTTTTGTCCGCTAATATTCTGCAAGAGGGAAAGGTCTATTTGACTACCAAGGGAGAGAACAGCAGGGGTGAGGACTTATGTGACTACTGCATCAGAGCTGTAAATTGCACTCTGCACTATCTGAGATTGTCTCACTAGTGTTTTTTTTTTTGAGCCCATCTCAAAACTTCTGCAAACTCAGATTACTCAGTTTCGTGGGAAGAATGGCTGCTCTACTAACATTTAATTGTACACCATCCTTTTGGAACTTGAAGCAAATTACAATCAAACTCTCTGAGGATATATATGTACATGTAAGTCAGTAAGAACATAATGGCAGCTCACCTTGTCATCTACCCAGCCATTCTCCACTCTAAGAACAGAATTCTAAAAAACACAAGTGCAATCAGCATATAGCTTAACTGTGAAAGGTTTGACATGAGATGAACTATCCAGCTCAAGTAAATAAATAATGGGGTTCAGGGATGGAGTAGTGGTAATCAAGAAAAACGCACCAGTTTACATAAAGAAGATGTTGTATCACACATATGAAGAATAGATTCATCCTGATTTCTATTCATCCAAGTCACAGTTACAGCTGCCTCTGATGCCCATGCTACGTTGACCACATAATGATCACTGTAAATGAACAAACACACAATTAAATCATAACCAAGCACTTTAGATCAAGTGAGCAATATTTTTAAAAGTAAGAAGAAGTATTATTAATATTAGATAATTCAGGTCTTTGTTTTATTCAAAAGTCTCCAAATATGGTGAACATTGCAGAGGCATGGTCAGGTAGTCACGAGGCTTTGTGCTACACTTGACACTCAATGGTTTGAGTCCTAGCTACATGTACTGATCACATGTTCATCATTTTCTAAAAATCTGGCAGTACTGTCTACCTTTTGGCCCAGATTCTCAATAGAAGCACGATGACTCTAAAGAAGAACAAGATGTATCTCTCTTCAATCGAGACAAGTCTTGACCCTTACACGACAAGAGGTGATACCTTGCTTTGAGCAGTAAATATAGAACCAAGGAAACATTGCAAAAACTTGTCCACTGCAACTTGGACCATTGCTACTCTACTCCCTTTGCCAGTAAGAGAACCAGCAGGTACACCAGGGCAGAGAGACTGAGGTACTACGAAAGGAGTGTCTTGTGCAGTAACACAACACAGTGGATTGATTGATTGATTGATTGATTGATTGATAACTTCATTTATACACAGTAAAAATTCCTTCAGCATAATTTAAAAATATATTTAATATTTAAGTATGCATAGGTACATGTAAGCTAATAATTAATAAAGTATTATACATGTAAGGCTTAAAACCTATAGTAACACTAAAGCTGTTTTTCAAGGATGCCATGTCTCACTCAAAGCTGTAATGATGAAGTTGAAATTTAAATTCACTACATGTAGATTGGAGTTCATGAGAAAGGCTGTTCCACAACATAGCACCCCTGTAGGGAAAACCTCCCTTTAAATAATTGGTGCAGGGCTGTGGAAGAGCCAATTTATTCTCAGAATTCCTCAGTCGATACGAAGTAATATCATTTCGAGATACAAATTGAGATTGCAGATATTGTAGTGGACCATGCAAGCATCCACTCAAACCCAGACCAGTTCATCTGGAATTCCATGCACTTAAAAACATTAGCCAAGGCCACTTCACGTCCCAGTTATTGTACTGAATTTACATCAAATACTTACATTTTCATGAAGTCAGCAGGTTCTGGCAATTCAACCTGGTTTTTAGTCGCAAGATCAATCACATAAATGGCAACTGTGGGATTGGAATATCCTGGTTTGGGATAAGCAATCTTTCTCATGGAGGTGTATGCATCACTTGAAGGTCCATACCAGGGGAACTGGTACCAGTTAACTCTAGTGTCATTGAACTGAATATATGCCAGGTATTTACCCTCAGGAGAGAACCAAAGGGCGTGGTCAGAGTTCAACACCTCCTCTGTTGGCAAAGGTAGTAACACTTGGTAAGAGTTTGATAAAGAAGTTTATTTGAGAATGGAAAAAGACTAATAATCAGTTGGCATTATTACCTTGATACACCCAATCAGGGATTCCATTGAAGATTTTGTGCTTTACACCATTGTGAGTCAGCCGTGTAACCGTTGATCTTGGTGATGTCATGTAATAAATATCATTGTCATATACAAAGGCCTAAAAAGAACAGAGAAGAGCA